TTCTCCTAAGCCGGGGTTCCGGCCGATCTCTCTCCCTGCCCCCTTTTGTCCGTTGAGAATCCACGATTCGGACTTCTGACAAATTCTCACGAATTCGAGACCTATTCTCGGAATCTCCAGAGCGCAACGCTCATTACAATCGCAACAGAGAGAAGGAAGATTCAGTCAAAAAACACGAGTTCTCTCAACAATTCGTTTAGATGCTGCAAATGCCATTTCATCGGTTGTACAGTATCTTAAGATAAACTCAAGACGATCCTAAATATAAGATCAATCTCTTCTCTTCGAAAAGGTAACGAAAGATGTGTTTCAGAAGATAATTAAGGAACAGATTTGGGTCACGTAAATACACCCCCCATCTTAAAGGACGCCCGAGGCCAAAGATTAGGCCGTCTCTTGGACTTTCCATTACAGTGGTTTTCCGATTGTGCCTTCCAACGTCAATCACGGCGTACGTATTTTAAGGAAGGCCGGATGGAGAGGAGAGAGGGCAGAGCGACGCGATAGTTACCTATGGTGTCGGGGATAGTCACGCCATACGCGATCAGCGCGTGAGCGAACTGCCGAGGCACGCGCCGCTCCAGAGTACGTAATTATCATAGGGAGGCTAGGGTTGCCCTCAGCACACACACATATATACACACATACATACGCACACAAACACACAGGGGGTCGAGGGTCAGTCGACTCGGGTCAGGAAGTCACGCGAGGCTCACTAGGGGAGCGGAAGGGCAAGCAGAAACGGAGGTGGGTAGGAGGGGTGAGAGGGAGAGAGTGCTTTTATTGTTCTACGAGTCGTCTTAAAGTCGCTTTTCCTGGCCAGTGGGCAGACCCGTTGAAACCCCGCTGGTGGTCGATAACGCGACGTGACGTTTCTCGACGGACGCGCGAGCGCGCCGCGCGATCTCGAGAGTTCTCGAATCGACCCGCCGAGTTTTATGCCACTTTTGTCTCACGTAAAGTAATATTCGCGCGGAAAAATATATGAAAAATACATGAAGAGGTCCATACATCGGCCCGGCAGAAAGACGGTGTCGTGTAAGTCGAGAGAGAAGTGTATGAGGTTTGTATTTAATAGTAGCCATTTGAAACTTGTCTCAAGCGAGCTAATCGGATTTGGATTTGGAATTATTCGAATTTGAATTTTGAGATGTATGATAACTTTCTTCTCAGTTGAATCTTAATGAAAGATACAGTTGTTGGCGTAAGTCACCATAGTTTACAGTGAGATTAACAATTCTTTTCTCCCAATACAGTTATTAGTGCTTAAGTTACCTTTTCAGATATTTTCCAAGCTAAACTGTCTCTTTAGATAACTTAGGTTGCCTTTCTAGATGTTTGTTGAACTCGTTGAGACGAACGAGGCATGCATTCCCGATGGCGCCCAAAAATTTCCAGATGGTCTCAACACGCCCGCGCCGCAAAGATAATTAAGCGTCGCGCGATTCACGTGAGGAAGCTTTTTTCATCGTTTCAACTTTAGATTGGATCGCGTGGAGCGGACTTGTACGAGTGCCTAGGTGCGCATTTCGGTGCACGGGAAGGTTATATGAGCATGACCTGCTTCAGAGCGTGGAACAACTTTGGGCCACCGAGCACGCGAGCAACATTAATGGGCATACTCGAATTACCATTCCGCAGATATATCTGTAATGTGTTAATTCCCGGGTGTCAGTTCATCATTGTCCTCGCATGACGTTACGGCATGTTGAAACATCGCGGTTAAACGAGGAAATAATTTGCATCGGGCCACACAGAAGTCAAGAAGACGATTTGTTCCTTCGACATTCCCGTTGCATACAAAACGACCGATTTTTCTGTTATGTCGGAGTTACATGGGATTATATGAGAATTATACGAGATAGCGCTCGTCATGCATGAAATTATAATTGAGAAAGCAGAGTTTCCATCCCTGCAAAGGTTGCAACATGTCTTCTTTCGACATGTTTTATAATTAATAAAAATCGCGAAGATGATTGCACAATTTTTTGATACAATTCATTGCTGAGAGAAAAAATTGTTAATCCCGTTATAAATCATAATCATTTTATATATTTTCCAATCATCTCACTACAAAAATGTGTCGCCCGACTATAATTATTTCCCTATGGAACTCTCCCTTCTAACAATTGTGATTCTCGAAATTTCTATATCTAATTTATTAAAGAAATAAGGCCACAATAAAAGCCAAATGCTAGATATTCGTGCAAATATATGATGGAGAGGATAATAATGTTTGCAGTGTGTATTATCCTCCCTATCATATATTTGCACGAATATCTAGCATTTGACTCTTATTGACCTTATTTCTCTATTAAATTTAGTTACTTATAGAGCCTTAAACACATGTTTGGCTATTTCTATATCAATGTTAAAGTCTTGTATTGGCTTGTAAACTTAGAAACATCTCTAAGCTTTAAAGTAACTGTATGTATATTAATTATTTATTCCGTGCAAAATTGTTCTCTTCATTATCTATCTTCAATTTCTGGTTATATTGTACTCAAATTTCTGTATCTACTACGTGTAGTCCCTGAAAGAATCTCACTCTATAGGCTTAACAAATTTGTTCATCTATTTGTCTACCTATACGAATGGTAGTCACAAATAGCAAACATTTTCTTCTGTAAATGAAAAGTAAATGAAAAGTAAATGAAAAAATATTGCAACTTTTTTTCCTGCCAATCACATCGCAGTTTACTATCTTGCAAGACAAACATATAGCTATACGTGCCCATCATTTGTACATACTCAGAGGAATAGGCACCCTCGAGTATCGCAAGTTTATCTAACTCCTCCCGATTAAGATCCTTTGTATGCGCGCGCGAGCTAGTCGAACGAAAATACAAACTGGTATAGCCCGAATCTCAGAGGCTGGCTACGCTGCTCTGCCAGAGACGAGCTTGTAATTTCAATTTCACGCGGTCTGGAAGACCGCAAAGTGCCCCCGGGTCAACGCGCGTCACGTCACGTAATTTCATGAACCTCGCTGTGACACGACGATGTCACTCCCTTTCGCATCGCGGCGTAAAGCGTAAACCGAGTCAAAGGCAACCCCGTGCCTGTCAAGATCAGAGAACGGTGTTGAAGTCGCGCCATTCGAAAATGCCCCGCAGCTCTTCGCGCTCCCGTGATGAAGCGACTCGTGGTGTGTGCGCGAAAGCATGACGACCCGAGCGTCTAACTTCCAGGTGACACGAAATTTCGGCAAAATATTTAGAAGATCAAAGGCCTGTGATCACCGAATCAAAGGCCGAAAATCACCGTTGTCAAGAAAGGAGAGAAGAAGAAATTCAAGCTCGAGTTCTCGTAATTAATGCAAATTAATACGTTCGCTACTACATGTCATACACGCGTGTGACACATCGATTGTTACTAGAGGTCGCAGTCACGTAGCTGCGACAGTGATCATTTATTCATTCTCTACGTCCATATCAACAATTTAAGTCCGTTTACCCTATTACATAAAAAAAAGAAAGTATAGGGTGATGACGGACGAGTTTTCAGCTGAACAATGGTAGTTATAGTGTTAAAGAGTCTACATTGAACCTCTTCTCTGAAAACCGTCGAGCCAATTCGTCGTCCGACCTGAACATCTAACATCTGTTATATTCTGTACACAGTGCGCGATTTACCACGATTTGGCGCGATGTGCACGTCGCATATGCGGTTTCACGCGTCGCATCAAGTTACGCTTAAAGGCCGGCACTAAGGTGCGACACGGCAGGTTGCGAAACCTGAATGCAATTCCGCATTCGCGAGCAAGGTGGACGCTGATGGCGCCGACGCGTTCAACGGAGCGTCCGAGGGGGGCGAGAAGACCTTTACACCCTCTCTCGCGGAGGTGATCTCGAACTCACACGTTGTCGTCGCAACCGTGTAACGCCAGGCTGACGTGCGACGAACGGCCAAGAGCCGTTTATAACAAAGACGCCCGCGGGCAGGCCGCGCTCTGTGATCTTCGCGGGATGATTGTGCCAGCGCTGGTGGTTGGTGTCCACACAGGGTGGGGCCTGTTCTTCGGCGTTACCACACCGTGCGGCCAGGCGTCTCCACATAGCCCCCAGGACTTGTTCTCTCTCTCTCTCTCTCTCTGTCTCTTCTCTTACCCCTCTTGCCCGCGAGCGACGACAAAGGGGCCGCGGTTCAACGCGCCACAAAGCGCCGGGACGCCACCTACACCTACACCAACGCCCACGCTCGCTTCTCCCTCGATCTCTCCCCCTTCTCTTTCTCTCTCTCTCTCTCTCTCTCTCTCTCTCTCTCTCTCTCTGTCTTTCTTGTGGAATATCCTTACCATAAATGGATTAGAAGATCAACATTGCATATGTCTACAACTTGAAAAGGTACAACGCGAATATTGCGCGAGATCTAATGCGAGGACAGCGTACTGACCGTTTTTCATAACGTACAAAAACGAATGTAAGAAGTAAATGCCATATTAAAAGGATCGGCGAAAGGGAATCTAAAGTGGCGGCTATCGGGAACGCAGATCTTCATTGCGTGCTAGATTTACTCTATAGGTAGCCTTGTGGGCGATTGCGGG